TCTAACAAAGTTTTGACAGCTATCACTATAACCGTGAAATATTCGTCTCATCAAATCAGCCCTAGTCTTTTCCCTCCTTAAGTTCAAATCACTTGGACCGGACCGTATTGATCTACGGGGACATTTGATGCTCCCCAAAAATGTAAAAATTACTACCATGACTGAAAATGCAGCACCAACACACATTCTTTTTACAACCTCTTCATCAACAAAATCACCATCCATCTACAATATTTAGGATGCAGTTAAAATAGGTAAATAAAAATCCAAATCAATCTTTCACTAACATTCTCCTTTTATTTAGACAGGGCTGTGGTCTTTAAAATAACAGTCTAGAGTACACAAATGTAAAAATTATGTGATTTGAACAAACTTAGAGAGAGAAACGACTGATTAACCAGGTTATGTAATACAAGCACAGACTTGGAAAATTCTCAATTAATTTAAATTATCTTGTTTAAGACAAGCTTTCAGATAGTGGATATAGACATGGTCACGTTGCAATGAAGGAAAAAATTAGAGACAGAGCATTGGAGACGCGAAGAGCACGGTAATAATTAGCTCTTTGATGAACGAAAAAGATGCAGTTGCAATGAACCAAAAAAAACCCCAAAAATCACAAGGTTAAATTTTAAACTCTTAAAACTTGATGCATGTTACTTATTTAAGCAAATTAGCTCTCTGATGAAGGGATACCTTAAGGTAAAATTGGAGCGGACCTCAAGCAATGGAACCTGATGGAATCCCCCTTCAAGGACTAAAAATCTACCGTATGAGGTGTAGATCAGGCCAAGCCGCTCAAATGGAAGAAGGTAAGAAGCAGAAATCACCCGAAATCCCCACCCTTGCTGCTAGATCTGGCTACGATAACACAAACAACCCATGAATGGTCGCTGAGGGCTCATTTCCCAGATTTTCCTTCCCCCGACTTACAAAAAATTAGAGTCAAAGCAGTGGAGACGAGAAGAGGCGGAGCAATGGGGAAGACTGAAGAGAACGAAGAGGCGGTGAAGATGACCTAACATTTCCCACTTTTCTCTTCCCCAGCCTCGAAAGAAAACCCAGGCGATTTTTTTAATGCCGTCTTTAACATTTCCCAGCTGTTTTCACGCCAAAACCAGCTGAAAACAAAATTGGCCAGAGTCCTACGTGGAACCCGTTTTCAAGGGTACATTTCTCTAAACAAGCATGTGAAACGAACAGGTGAAATGGAAATCACCCGAAACCACTTTCCTATGTGGTATCAAAATTTGTTTTCATTTCCCAGTTTTCCAAGTTTTTTTGGGCCAAACGAACAGGCCCTTAGAGTAAATCTTGCATGTTAATATTCTTTCTTTTTCTTTCTTTTTAATTTTTTTTAACCTATATGAGGTAACAGATTCTTCGCAGCCTTTTCTTACTTCTCAATCTCTTAACTAGTGATGTCCTGCCCAAGTACTTTGTACTAGGAGAAGAATCTCACATGACAGCCCACATTCCATAGGCATCACCCAACTACTATCAAGAACTTTCCATGATCAACACTCTACGCAATTACCACTAAGAATTGAGATTTTGGCCCCAGCTATCAGTGATGGAATATATAGCACCATAATTGGACATATCATGTCTTTTTTATTTCAAGACTGAGATTCTCCTAGTTACCACATAATTATCAATTAGACCATAGGAAGCAATGAAGCAGGCCTCTAAAACATTTAATTAAGCAATGCAGCTAACAGCAAGCAAGCACTTAAGTAGGATAGCGAGCTAAACAAATATCTAAAAGGCTTAAAAGGACTAAAGGCTGAAGGGGGGGAAATATCTTGCTGTGATCTCATGTGGTCACTGGGTGTTGCCAAACTACGGCTATAATAGAGCTGAAAGGGAGACAGCTTGCACATGTGCCGCCCTAAAACAGCCCTGATCTGCACTAAAAGCACTAATACACAGGGAGACTCAAAAGAGAAAAGGATCCACTTTTGACCAGCCTTGATTTTTTCCCTGTCAAATATATTATCGCGATAGATATTTTTAGCATTTCTTTATTAGCTTTTGCTTAAACTAATTTTAGTTGGAGCTTTGACAAGTCCATTAAGCAAACGTATACGAACGCGTTCAGACGTTGAAGCTAGTTCGGTCCTTAGGCGCATTATAGCTGGCTGGACCTAATCGATGCCTAAACAGTAAGGATTAGGAAAGTGCCAGTTTAACTCCACACCAGTGAGGAAGAAAAAAAATTTAGGACTGACAGAAACAACAATTTCATCTAAAAGATGATTCATTTTGAGGTAAAAAGATTTTTAATAGCTAAATGCACTCGTCTCCTCAGTAGAAATTCACATGAGTTTGTGCCAACAACATTTTAGTAAACTTATATGTCTATTACAGTATTCAGCATGAAAATGTCTGAATCAGAAAATTACCTCAAAAGACAAAGTCGTTTTGTACTATAATCCTTCTACTCAATGTATTTAAAACTCGTATAGATAGCCAAAAAGCTGTTCTAGAAGCATAAAAGTTGAAACTATTTTTAAAAAAAGAGGGAGTGTTAAATGATATTTTGCAATCTAGATTCGACCTTAGACTCCTCGCTTGTTTAGAGTGCATTAGCTATTCATTAGCAAGTAACAAATATGTAAGTTATGGAGAAAATTGCTATTATGCTTTTGGGATTAGTGTTGGTACAAAATTGTTTTGGTAGAAAATGTTTAAAATTCTTGCGGTTGGTATTGTTATTTTGGAAACCTTGATATGTCGCTTAATTTTTTTTTTTCAATTGATTATTCGTTTTCATCAGCTTATTGGTGTCAAGCGTGTTTATTCCCACTTTTTTTTTTTTTTTTTTTTTTTTGGGTGGCCTTGCCCTCTTCACTATTGTTCTAGAAACTACTAGTTATAGGTCACGTTGTGTAAGAAGGAAGACATGCTTATTGTTGGTCACATTGAAAAAGCAGAGGACTGCAAGTTGTATAGCTAGCTTTTCAGAAAGTTTTTTTTCTCACTACGGTATCTCCACCACCCTTTAACCTCACATCCCCTCAGCCAATCTGCACCGTCTAAATGGCATAGAATCTTGATTCACACAACATTCCCCCTACCCTCCAACTCTAGGGTGCCTATAAATACAAGGCCGCTGCACTTACTCTCACTCCAAAGTAAGCTAAGTACAGTTGCTTGACACAAAGGAACGCTTGTTTTCGGGGAGAGAGAACTAACAATGGGAGGATCAAGGAAATCTTCATTCTTCTGTTGCTTTTCTGGGTCACGATACATGGATGATGATACTGATTGGTCGCCGAGGTACCATAGAAAGATCCGACCAAGTGACTACGATAGAGGCTGGTGGGTGGGCGAGCCTGATGTAGATAGGAAAGCCACTGACTTCATCGCTAAGTCTACGATAGAGGCTGGTGGGTGGGCGAGCCTGATGTAGATAGGAAAGCCACTGACTTCATCGCTAAGTTCCATAGGAGCCGATTTGCTGAATAAGAGAGAAACTAAAGGCCTGCAGGCTTTTCAATACTCTCCTCTTCTACATCTTTCGTCTTCCTACCATTTGCTTGTGTTTCTTTGTAACCTTGTAGTTAGGCTTTTGTCTCCTATGCCATCAATTATGAATAACAGGTTGCACTTGTTTCGACTTTGTTTGTGTTGATTTCTTGTGCATTTATTTCTGAAACTGTCTAGCTCCTTGCTGATACTTGGCTGGATTTGGTCACTTTTTGCATCTACAATGTCTGTCAAATTAAAGAATGATACTGTGATCACTTTCAGTTGTCATGCATGCATGCAATTGATAATAATATTACGTTAAGTGCGCAGATACTAGATCATTCATGCTTCATTTTTAAAAGAAGTCTAAATATGCTTAATTTCTAATATGGCTATGTTCGTTAAGTAATATGGATAAATATTCATCGTTTCCCAGTCTAGTCGAAATTGGAAGTTGTCTCGGCTTGATCTTTTATGTAAGACGATACGTGAGAGAGCTTAAGAAGTGATATTTTCATATTTGAATTTAGGGTTTTGAAGATCAATTTGTATATCTTATCTTCTTCATTCTCGTTTGATTCCCTTATTTGTACTTATAAACACATTATCAGTAAACCTTTTATGTGGTTATAAGTTGTGACAGTATCGCACGTGGCCCAAAACAAGATGCCATTCTAAAAAAGAAGCAGCTACTTAAGATTTAAGTTTGATACCTTTTCTTCTCTTTTCCCCCACCTTTTTTTGGCCATTCTTCTTTTAGGTATGGTTTGGTGGTTTCCCTTGATGGATTTTGCACTTTCCTGTCACTTTGTCTCCCATTTACTTTCCATCTGCAATTTCTACGCTACAATCACTGCGGCAATTTATAGGATGACTACTATGGTACTTTATATCAGATACTATTGATTTTTTTTTTCAGCGAGTGTTTCTTAATATGCAAGAACTCATAAGGTTGCTTCTCAGTTGCATGTTTCTTAGTCCATAAGCATTGAACGATTGATTCCTACCCAAATGAGTTCAGTAATATTTTGAACAAAATTGATTGATATTGATGTTGCAGGTATTCTTGATCTTTCAGGGAGGCCACGAGTGATTAAGAATTATAATTTAGTGTTAATAACGGGGACCAATTTCACAATAAAGGTTGTCAAGGATGAAGTCCATCTAGTTTACTATTGATTTCTATACCCAGAGGTTTTCCTGCTAAATGACTGAAGTTCTTATTTAATCAGCTAAGTTTTGTTTTGTTTCAACGTACATTCTGTATCAACAACTATCTATATCCTGCATTTTTCAGTACTTGCTTTATCCAAGTACTCATTCTGTGATGTGATGTATCCCATTAATTCAATATTGAAGTGGATGATATCTGAATTGGCATAATTTCGTATATTTTTATGTGAAGCCATTTTGATGAGAAGAGAGTTTGGTGTATGATAAATGCTCTTCCCACAGATACGTAGCCAACTCCCTAATTATGCAGTCTTCTTTCATGGGAGAAGAACTAGTATGCTCAAGATCAGCAGTCAGCAGCTTTGAGCAACAGAATCCAGATCAATTTCTGCAAATTGATATAATCTGTACAGCACAGGATAAATATAGCCAACTCCCTAATTATGCAGTCTTCTTTCATGGGAGAAGAACTAGTATGCTCAAGATCAGCAGTCAGCAGCTTTGAGCAACAGAATCCAGATCAATTTCTGCAAATTGATATAATCTGTACAGCACAGGATAAATA